ACAACTTGATGAACAAACTAACTACAATAACATAATTATAGTGTGAAGGCTTTTTAGAAGAAGGAGAATATATTTATTCAAATTATATTTTTTATTTTTGTTATGAATTCAAATTCAACTTATTTTTTATTCAAATTATATTTTTATTTTAGTTACAATTTTATTTTATATGTTAACCTTTTTAATATTATAGTCTAATTTTAGTTTGTAAAAAATATATAAATAGTCGATTAAAAAAGAGAAAAGTTAGTTAATAAAATATATTTTTACTTACTCGCACATTTATCATGAATCTCTTCACATATCATTAGAGTTAAATTGGATAATTATATAAATGTATATATATAAAAGAATTACAAATAAAATTCATTTCGTTTTTTAAACTTTAATCGATTTAATAGTAGCTACTTTAAAATTCAAACTATTAAATAGGTATTCTTATATTTTTGATATTCTTTTAAAAAATATTTGTCAAATAATAATCACCATAGAATCATATATTATCAAACATTCAATCTTCCATTACCATAAAACAATTATCATCTTATACTTTATCACATATATATTAGAACTAACTGAAATATCTATAATATATATTATAAATTGTGACACTGATATTTTTTAATTCTATGATTTTTTTCTGATTAACCATTTCATGGGCGTGAATTTCGAAAAGTGTCTATGGCCTAATCGGTAAGAGCGACGATTACAAATCTGATGGACTTAGGTTCGAATCTCAGCAATGATTATTTTTTTTCTTAATCCAACTAGGTGGTTCCGTCCTTTAAAATGTTAACTAAATTCCCATTGAACCTGAAAATGTTGTCATTTGCAGACCTCTGGTGGTAAATGCATGGGAAAATAAAAGTGGCAGACACATATCATTTATAGATGGATTCTTTGGCAGAGGTAAAATCCATTAATATCTGCTGTTTCCGATGTCATCCTGATTAGAGGTCTGCAATGTGAAAATTTTGGTTCACCTGCCTGCTCATTTATTTAAAAATTTTGTTTAACTTGCCTGTCCAATATATAAAAATTATTATATTGGTTGATTTGGCTCTTTATGTATTATTTTAATGTTTTTTACATAAACTTATAAATTATGTAATAAAAATATAACATCTAATAATATCTATCTATAATCTCATTGGCGTACGCAGCGGGGGGGGGGCAGGGGGACAACCCCCCCCCCCCCCCCCAAGCCAAAAAATGCAGATGCCGGATATATTTTTCAAAAATATTATTGTTTATATTAATTTATATTTGTTAATATTTATTCGTATCTCATATTAAATATATATTACATTACATTTATTATCAAATTCATAAGTTATTTTATCAATTAATTTCGATTTCAAGTTTTCCGGCGTAATATTTACTTATTATTTTCAAATTTTTAGTGGCGTTATATTTATCTACCATTTTCAAATTTCTAGTCAAATAATAATTATTTCTGAAAACAGGGAAAAAGAAATTGCAACCTTGTCCAACGAGATAGAACCTCTTCCATCAAGCACTAACAGCTATTAAGGAGTTAGAATAGCCAATTATTTGTTATTACTGAAATATTACAATGGCCTGAAAGAAATATTACCTCAGAAGCAAGAAAATTATTGGATTCAATGCTTATTCCAAATTTTATTTCTCATTAGAATGTATTATTTAATTATACAACTATTTTAAGTATTACTTTTCAAAAACATGAGAATGATTTGATTAAGAAGATGAGAATAGCGGAGAGCATTTTATCAGAACTCAAGGAAATTAGGGCTAATGTTGATGAAGAATTTCATATTTTATATTTTATTGTTGAGTCAAAAGCAGAGCTATACGTGTTTAATATTTGTCTCCCTCGACAGCAAGGCAAGCTCATCGTTAAATTATTAATATAGGATCAGTAGAAGAGTTTATCTTAGATGCAGATACATTTATAACCCAAATAAATGAATTTTTATTATATCGTGCAGCACTTACATCTGCAAATATTACTTCCACAAAAGCCTTCAACCTTTTTCAGATGGTGATAGAAAAAAAAATATTTGTTAGATTTTTATTATGAAGATGTTAAAGTATCTTATGATGCCTTACTAGCTGAATAACTATGTTTATAAGATTAACTATAGTTGATATAGTCCCAAAAAATGCTATGGTAGCTCTGCATTATTTCAAACACATTTTAGATTAAATTCCCAATGTATTAAAAGGGTTTATAAACTCTTCCCATTAATAAACTAATGAGAGAACACTCTCTTTTTTAAGAAGAATAACAGAGGCCTGCAGAAGTACCATTTGCAGGGCACGGCCCGGATTTTTTTTAAAGATTTTTTACGCTATTTTTAAAAAATTTTTTAGGCCGCTCGGCTTTTTTTTTAAATTTACAGGCTCGGCCCGGCTTTTTTTAAAATAAAATTTTCAGGCCCGGCCTGGATTTTTTAAAAATAAATTATATTTATTTTTGATTTTTATAGCTAATAATAACGATTTCAAATATAGGCTGTTTTAAAAAATACAGCCCGGCTTGGGTGTTTTTTTAAGAAAATTTAATTCCGGCCCGGGTGTTTTTTAAAAAAGTTTTTGGGCCCGGCCTTGGTATAATTAAAAAAATTAAAATATTGTCCGGCCCAGGAGCCGGGCCTGCAGGTCTCTGAAAAACATACCAAGAAGTACAACATGTGAAAGTAGAATGAAAGGTTTGGATTTTTTGAATATTCATAGGCATTTGAATACAAGCAAGGATGAGATAATTGAAAAATTAGCTCAATTTCAACGAAGATTGGATTTTACATTGTAAATATATATCATACAAAATACAATTATTCCTAAGAAACTTTTTGTGTAAAGGCTCAAAAAATTCAAATTTCTATTTTGGGTCATTTAAGTGATTCTTTACATATAATTTTTTTATAATTCACACTAATTTAAAATTGTGTATTAGGAATAGTTGTTAGTCCTAATAAATTTATGCTTAAAATTTTTAAAAACAATAATATTTCTCAAAAAAATTTATTATCCCCCCCCCCCCCCCAGACTAAATTCCTGCGTACGCGTCTGAATCTATAATAATAATATATATAAAAGCCATGTCACAGTCACAATATCACTGTCACAGTGTCACAATTTAAAATATATATTAAAAATTCACAATTAAAAGCGTCTGTGGCCTAATCGGCAAGAGCGTCGCTCACAAATGTGAAGGTCATGGGGTTCGAATCTAAGTAAAAAAAATTTTTTACTTATAGAAGATAAAATAATTAAATGTGACATATTCACATACGATTCAAAGTTTAACTATTAAATAGGTATTCTTATATTTTTATTTTTCACAACGTAATTACCAATAGTATTATAGCATCATACCATATCAAACACTCATTTTTCAAAGCATCCATTAAAATAATATCTAACATTACCATTTTATACATCATAAACATATATTTATCTATCTATCTATCTATCTATCTATCTATCTATCTATCTATCTATCTATCTATCTATCTATCTATCTATCTATCTATCTATCTATCTATCTATCTATCTATCTATCTATCTATCTATCTATCTATCTATCTATCTATCTATCTATCTATCTATCTATAATAATATATATAAAAGTCGTGTCATAGTCACAGTGTCACAATGTATAATATACATTTAAAAAATCGTCAACTTTGAAAAGCGTCTGTAGCATAATCGGCAAGAACGTCGCTTACGAATCTGATGGCTTTGGGTCGAATCCCAGCAATGCATTTTTATTTTAATCTAACATTGTATACTTTTTTAAATTATATTAATTTCCTTATTTTTTAAAATTTTTATTATTTATGTACTCAATAAAATATTTAATTTTGCCAGATGAGTTTTGTATATTGTTATAATGGAAACAGATTTCGGATTTGGACTTATTAAGAATGAATCTTTTAAAATTGGCTTCAAGAAATTGAAAACCAATTATTTTAGGAAGAGCATCACAAATTGTTCCATCGTCAAGATGCCAAATAATTATATCCAAATCAAATTTAGATTTAAGATAATGGATGTAATAATGAATTCCAAGGTAAAATAAACGAGAACGTGTGCTCTCTGCTGGATCCTTTCGTCAGAATCTATAACATGTGGGCTGAATAAAGGAGTTTTAATGTTACAGTATGTCTCTAGGAATTTTGAATAAACAGGAAATTTGGGATAAAACAATTTATGAAATGTTCACAAAATTTGCTATTTAAAGTATTTTTAAAGTTTATTTTGATAATAGCCATGTTAGGAGGAGGATTTTGGAATACAAATGGTATGTGAAGCTATGCCTTCTCCCTTGACACCAAATCCTAATTGATAAGTATACTTAATAAGTTAGGACCTTTATACCCATGCCAATTATTTTTGCTAATAATCTTCTAAATAGCCCATTGCAATGGGGTGGATACCACCACAGTTTTTAAAATAACCAGGTTTGTCCCCATGATTGATTCGAATCTATTATGGCAGGTCCTTTTTTAAAAGAGAATTTAGGAAGGTTTTAAAAGCATTTAAATAATTCTTTGAGAAGAATGTAGATTTTATGCGAAGTGAGAGAACAAAAACCATTGCGTCTGGATGTAAAAAATTTCTTAAAAGAATTGATAAATATCATAACTCACAAATCATATTTTTTTTATTCCATATTTTTATAATATATTTGACCTTTTCTCTAAAAATTTATAGAATCTTGGAAGGATGAATACGGATAATCTATTTCTCCTATTTGACTATTATTCTTTCTGATTCATCCATCGTCAAATGAAGGTAAAATTTATTATTTATCCATACGGAGAAAATTCTGATTTTATCCGTCATTCTTGACGGGCTATCAGCTAGTGATAAAATAAAACATTAATATAAAATAATCTCGATCACTTATTTAACAACAATGTTAATACGATAAAATAAAACGTTAATATAAAATAATCTCGATCACTTATTTAACACGTCTATAAAAAAAAGGTTAGAAGTCTATCATTATTTTCGGATAACTTTAGCTACGATATTTGATTAGCTAATTAAATTTTTATAAAAAAATTCTTAGGATATTAAGACCAAGGCCTTTTAATAAATATAATTATTTTAAAAACCATTAATGCAGAAACCTCCACCATATGATCAAGCTCCTCTAGGATTTATAACTCCAGCACAAAATGTTCAAGTATATTCGCAACCACCTCAGGGTTATTATCAAAATCAACCTATGGGAGGACAATATTATCCTCAGCAGCCATATAGTAATCATACATATTCTAAATGTATTAAATTATATATTATGATTTATTGTAATGATATAATATTCAAATTAATTTATATTTTAATTATTTAAAATTAGCCAATTAAAAAAACAATTATTTATAATTTAAAAATTTAGATTATGCTGGTGGACAAATACCTTATGGACAACCTCAATATTATGGTGGTCAACCTGGATGTCAACAACCTATGTAATTATTGACTTATGATTTTGTTAATTCATATTTTATTAAATATACTACAATACACAATAATATATATAAATTTCTTATATTTTACATTTTTAATCAAAAGAAAAATTAACCAATTATAAAAAGAGGTTTGTAAGTATTTTTTAATTAAATTTTTCTTACCTTATACAAGGAGGGGGTGGTGGATAACTGCCATTAACTTCTTTACCTATAAATCTCTTTTATTCTTATATTTTTTAAAATGATTTATATATTTAATTCTTTCGCATAATAAATTATAAAAATTATTTTATATGAGCAAATAATGAAATTTAAAAATTGAGTTAAATGAGAAACACTATTTATAGGTTAAATGCATTAATATTTATTTATAAACATTATGTTTTTTTTTCATTTAAATTATAATTTAAGAAAAAGATATTTTATTTTTAAAAAACATTTATAAAATATTGAACATAATATTTCTGGAACATAAAACTAAATATATTTATATACTTGCTAAAATTATTTTATTAATTTCTTTAATTAAAAAAAAGGATGCCTGCAAAAAGAGGGATTAGAGATTGTTGGCTTTGGACTTTATGTGCTACCTGCCTTTGTTGTTGCCTATGCAATGATGGTTATGATTGTTGTGCATGCTGTGATGGTTTAGATTCTTGCTGTTGTTGATATATTTAAATAGCTCCATTATATACATTTTTAACTCAACGAATCAAAAAATAACAATTTTATACAACAAATTCCCACATATTGAGATCCATATACTTTTCACTATTTTATTATATATGCACTATTTAAGAAATTTATGACAGAATTTTTAATAAAAATAACTGACCATGTCCTATTAATATATTTTCATACTCTTTAAATATATATATATAACAGAAGCCTAAATTTTTTATTCCATATCCAATTAATCTCGCAATATTGTAGAATCATATAATAAAACATTTAAATTTTAATGTTGAATGTGGATCTATTATAATTATATATATATAAGTTTAAATATATATTGATTGGTTTTTGGTAGGGATTAATGCTATTACACTATTTTAAAAGAGTATCACACTATTATAGTCCCCAAAATAACTTCACTAGTAATCTTTTTTTTAAATGTAGCATTAGTGATCTGCATTGGGCCTAATTTTTCAAGCCTGGCCAGGCCCGAAATTTTTTTAAAAAAGTTTTGCTGGCCTGGCCCAAATTTATTTTAATATAGAAATTAATTTTTATAATTACTCAAAATAAAAGACATATGTTATATGTCGTTTAGTTTCAATAAATAAAATCAAATATTTTTATTTTACATAAAAAATTCAATATAAAATTGATAAATTTAAATATATTTAAAAAAACAAAATCCGACCCGACATGGCCTAAATTTTTTAAAAAATATTAGGCTCAGCCCGAACCCAATTATTTTAAATAGAATTAGACCATGGCCGGACTCGGGCCGGGCCTAACTTTGCAGATCTCTATTACTTTAAAATATTATACATAAAAAAATCCTTAAGTCAAATATTTTATTTCAAATTTATATTTTTTGAATAAAATTTGAAATTTAAATATCAATTTTACACAAAACAAAATATTTTTATAATAAAATATTAAATATATTTTTAATTAATTAATTTTATATTAGCTTTAAAAAAAAGATGTAAAGTTTTTATTTAGCAAAGAACATATTTTACCCCAAGACATTCTTTGTTGAAAATAGTCTCTCAACAGGAGAGCAAAATAGGATTATATTTTATAAAAATGGGGTTTAAAAATGGAAACTCTATGGTGATTTTAATAAATAGATTATAAAATCAGTATTTTTTATAATTATATATAGATTATGATTGCTCATTGAATATATCATCAAAAAACTTAAAACGCGAAATGTTGTCATTTTGTTAGGTTATTTTGTTTTTAATGTTGAGAATGGCTATGATGAAACATAAAACTCCTCAGCCAATTTATGTATTAATGTATCTTTTATTGTATTCCTCGCAAGTTTTTCATGATATATGATATTTAACATTTCACTATTATTTGTATATATAACAGAACAGTGCTGTTCTCTCAAATAAAATTACATAAAACTGGAAAATGAAAATTTAAGGGAAATAATTATGAGAAGAGCCATTACAGTTTATGGACAAACCACAGTTACCTATATGCATAATAAAACGAGCTTGCTATTTAAACGTTTGTGGGAAGTAGATAGTTGTATTCGATTAAACAAGAGGTTACTTAGGGAGAGGCTTAGGTAAATTAAATTTATTTTGTGTTTTCATTTGTTGAGGAACCTAGAAAAATAAATAAATTAATGTATTCAATAATCCTCTTTAAATAAAATATGCAAAAAGGAATGGATTTGCACAAATTTATAAAATATTTCCATTTTATTCAAATTGTCCTCCATTTTTTATTTATATATTTTTAAAAATGTTTCATATAATTTTTATTCCAAATTTGTAAATTTTTACTCTGGATAATAAAGAATTTTAGATAAAATTAATTTTTTAAAAAGAATTAAAATTTTTTAAAATAGTGCATTTTAGCTATTTATACACAAAAAAAGTATAAATTACTTTCTACTTTCTTATAAAAGTGGTGTCACTACTAACTGCAATGTTTACATGAAAAGAGGGAGGGGGGGGGTAGGAAACAAGTGCCTCCAAAATATTTGGAGCTAGATTTTTAGGGGGTAGTTTTTGACTTTTAGAGTATATATATGAATCGTAATTATAATTAAGATAGTTAAAGTTTTTCAAATCGATACGATAACATTGATAAATAACTTATTCAAGAATATATTAAGATTAAAAGAAGTAAAATTTATTTTTTTTACTCTATATTTAAAATAATTTCATATTAAGTTATACATTAAAGCAAAATATCAGATGTTGAAAAAGAAAACTAAATAAAAAACAATATACTTTGTAAAATATGGTAATACTAATATTCATTTCAAACTAGATTCAAGCAACAAAACCCTATATAAAGGGAAATGTTAATATCCTATCCTTGGTCAAGCTTCCAAAATAAGGAGTGATAAAATAAATGAACATAATATAAACATCCTCATGTAAAGCCAACAGATTTAAAATTTAAGAAGATAGCCATCAAAAATAAATGGCGTTAATTGGCTGGAGAAGGGCATTCACTTGTTTTTTCCAAAAACTGGTGATTTTTTCAAAAACACTCGGAGCGCCGCTATATTTAAAAGACAGGGAGCTAACTTCTCTTGGGGACTTATTTTATTCCATAAATGTTAAAATATAATCTTAATATAAAATGTATTTGGTTAAATTTATGAAACTATTTGTATATTAAATGTTAAGCTGGGTTGTTTATATATTTGATTTTTTTAATTCTCTTTTCAAAACTTAAAACATGGAAGACGATAGTATTATCAGATGTAGAAAGTATTGAATTGAATGAAATAAAATTTACATTTTTATCCTAAAGCAAATATTTTTCACTTCTAAAAGAGGTGGATCTTAATGAAACAAGTAGCAACTCATTGGATCGACCGGAAATCATTGCAACGAAACTGCAGCCTTAGTCTTAAAGTATGTTGAAAGTAAGCACACTTTTGATGTCTTGGCTAAGATTATGTTTGATATACATAGAATTTAAGATCGAGAATAATGTAATGAAAACCATTAATGACACACTTTGTAAAGACTTCTAGGCTACTCTAAATTAACCATTATAAATTAATATATAACTTTTTAAAATATATTTTAGAATGTTTGAGGATAAAAGTTCTGAAATGGATGAATTTTAGGGTGTGGAATAGGCAGGGGTAAGCATGGGAGGGGTAAAACCTGCTCGTTTTAGATCTCTAATTATTATTTATCATTGTAATTACTATCTTTAAATTTAGTTATATTTAATTTTTTTTTCTCTAACTTTTTGAGGCTTTTCTTTAATTTTGTGTTAATCTCTTTTTGTCATCTTTTCTCTTTTCTCATTTTTTTTTGCTTTTTTGATCATATTGAAGTTTATATTTATAAATTGCATTCTATTTTTCAAAATAATTAAAAATCGTCAGTAGAGATTGACATTGAAGATAATTTTGTTACTAAACATATCGACAAAATAATTTCCCTGGATAATTATGATAATAGGAAATCCCTTTTCTAAATTCTCAATTTTAATTTCGTTAAAAAAATTAACACAGGGTATAAATTTCGTTGTAAGATGTGCCAAAAGTTTAATCATCAACAAGACTAGTAGCTTCAACTTGAGAAAGCATTTAAAGGTTAAATATCAAAAACTTATATTTCCTAACACAGTATTCAAGATGTGTCTGTCTTATTCTTAATTACGGAGAAAACTTTAGAAAATTGAAGTTTAAAATTTCAGAGCTCATTTCAAAAGTGTGTTGGGCAATAAACAAAACATGTCCGATAATATAATTAAAAAATTAGGAAGATATTTGATATGTCCAAATACTGCAAGATAAAATTCATATTATAAATTCATGGTATTATTAGATAAAATATTTAGCGAAAATTGCAAGATCTAGAACATTTATGTGGAGCTTGTGCTCTTTAATCTCAGGAACTTAAACTTTCTTCTTACTTTCATTCCTAATTTTCGTTAAATTTATAACTATTTTTTTATTTTTCTCAAAATGTATGGCTATATAAAGAGAGAAATCGCTGGTAGGAAATTGTTTTGACTATGAATTATATAGGTTATTAGATTTTTAAAAAATAACCATTAAAGTTGAATACCTTATTCGTTAAAATAATACCTTTTTAAAATAATAATAACGATATTATTTGGAAATAAACGTTTTACTTAATATCACCAACACCAGGTTTTGGTTCTGGCTTGCAGGTCTGATTAAATTTAGAAAACTGTTTACCATTAAAATGGCTAAATATCTTATGAATCTCCAAGGAGCGGAAATTCAATTTTTATACCCCCCCCCCTCCCTTTGTCAATATATTTGATCTTTGGGCGGTGCAACTTTTTTAAAGTTTCATACAAATAAATGTGAATTCCCTTTTTAAAATAAAATTAAAAAATTTTTACCTGTCGAAGGTCTTTAACAGTAAAATCATAAATAACAATTTATAATATGAAAAAATAAAAACTTAAATGCCATAAATATTAGTTTGTGTGCCAAAATAAAATTTAAGGTTATATCGAATATAATAAATATAAAATAAAATAAAATAACAAAACTTAATTTTGACATATATAAAAGAAAAGTATAGGTTAATGTTAGTTAGGCAGTGTTAAACCAATCGGGATTTTATTTATACTTTATTAGGATTGAGACTAGAGATCTGCAAATCCCGACCCGTGCTTGGCCTATTTTTTTAAAAATAATTATACAGGCCTAATATTTTATTTAAAAATCGGAAGGGGCCTGATCGGGTATATATTTTTAAATATGATATCACTCAATTTTTTTGAACAAATTGATACATTTTTAAATTCTTGCAAGAAACAAGGCGCCAATATTTTTTATTTGTAGATTATTTTTTCACAAATTAAAATTAAATTTTTTTATATTTTATTAAATTCGAGCCGGGCCGAGCTGACAAATAATTTTTTTCAGGTCTGGCATATCGGGACAAATAAAAAAATATTGTTCAGGATCGAGCCGGGCAAACTTTAAAAAAAATTTTAAACCAGGTAGGATTTGAAAAAATTAGGCCCGATGCAGAGGCTGCCATGAAGCCAACTTGGTGGCTCCGTCTAATTATATATAGTAAGGCGACCGAATTCTATCACTTAATACATTAAAAGAAATGAAATTTATTGTATTTTAAAAATTGGTAGTATTTAGCATTAACCAAAAGTATACGCGAAACTATTGCTGTAAATATTTTCAAATACAATTTCAAAAGAAAAATTTCAGAAATTTCTAATCCTTTGTTTAGGTAGGAAATTAAAAAAATGGGCCACTA